AGGGAGTGTGAATGCAGGGATGGGGCGGGATGACACGGAGTGTGAATGGAGGGATGGGGCGGGATGACAGGGAGTGTGAATGCAGGGATGGGGCGTGGTGACAGGGACTGTGAATGGAGGGATGGGGTGGGGTGACAGGGACTGCGAATGCAGGGATGGGGCGGGATGACAGGGACTGTGAATGCAGGGATGGGGCCAACCACTGTGCTGGGGCCATTGGGTGAGGCTCCTTGGAAAAGGTGACAGGGGTGTCTAGTGCATCAGGAAGTGAGGCATAAAATATCCAGATACCTTGGTCAAGAGCGATGTATGAAAGAGCAAATCCTGAATTTTTACTACAATGGACAAAATCGCTAGTAAAAACATGTATTATATCATGCTTAAATTATTTTGTTAAAATTATATCATGTTTAAAATATTTTAAAATAACCCAGTTTTATAATATAACTTACCAAATGATTTCTCAAATGCTATACAAAATTATTTTGAAATTATAAAGTAAAGGAAAATTATTATAAAAATTATTAAGAAAAGGCTTACCAGGTTCAATAAATCCAGCAAGGCAGGTAAACATGCCTGGGGGAAATCTTTTCTGTCTTCCTAAAAGACACTTGGTTCCATCTGGATGGATAACTTGCATGATTACTACTGGATCTGTTAAAAAAAAAAAATCAGACCCAACAGAAGACGACAGACTGTGAGAGGTGCTGTCTGGTTGGACAATGTAAGGGGCACGTCCTGTGGAGACAAGCCTCCGTCTGGTCAGGAGGGGCTGCTTCCTCCTGCCCTGGTGCTGTGACAACAGAGACCTCAGGGCAACTGAGCAGAGTAGTGTCACAAAGTCAGAGGAGGCCACTCCTGTCCCTCTCCTCCCATCTGAACAGCAACGTGTATTCTCTCCTTAGGGTATGTGAGGCAGATTCAGATGCGTTAATGAGAAAACTATTCTGAGTTGGTACTGTACGGATATGAGGAAAATTCAAATTTTACTGTAAATACAGTGACTTTCCCTCTTCCTCTCATCCCAATTCTGAACAAAATATCTTTAAAGCTAATATAACTCTATGATTAGGTTTAAATCATTAAACAAGACTTCAATAACAGTTCATCGCTCTAGAAGTAACTAATTCAGCAAATTCTTCTCACTAGCTCATGACAGAACTAGGAATTAACTAAAAAGGCTCTTGAGCAACAAAACAGATGTCACCACGCCATGCGTGACTCTGCAGAGCCTCCTCGGATGCTGCTGAGTCTGTCTGCTCTGTTGTCACACAGTTTTCAAGAGTGGTTATCAGAGTCCCAGACAGACTGACCAACAGCAGACGCCTCTGCAGTCAGGGTGGAGGGAAGGGCACAGCCTGAGGAAGGAGAAGGGCGCCCAGGCCCAGCAGTGTGGTAACGTCTCAGCAGGCACTAAATCGCTGGGGCTTCCTTTAACCTGTCCACCAAGCGCAGGCAAATCGGTGGCCTTTTGAAATCATGTGTCTCAACGTGTCAAATCCATATTGATTAATACCCAAAGTTAAGAAACGGCTAATGCTGTATGTGTCTTTTACTTAAAAATTATGAAAATATGTAATACTTTAACATTTACAATCTTAATACTTAAACATACCCTTACTTACTTTTTTACTACTGGATCTGTTTTAAAAAATCAGATATAGGATAACAGAAAAAATAATTTAGACTGTGCAGTCACTGTGTGGTTTGATAATGGAAGCTTAGTTATCTCCTGCAGAGACAAGACTCGTGTCTGGTTATAAGAGATTACTTCCTTCTGCCCTGATGTAACATGTTTAACTCTTTAAAAACTTGTCTTTCCACAACGTCTTATTTCCAGGATTCTGGTGGCTGAGATGTCACTGTAGAGAAGAGGCTTACCGACTCTTGGGTACGATGTGTTATGAACGCCGTGGAGACTGGGACAGGTTTCCTTTAGACACACTCTTTTATAACCACCCTCCTCAATCTTAGTTGCACTTCCACAGGTTGGACAAAACTTGTATCGACTGTGCCAGGCAAGAACAGATCTCGCTTGAGCTACAACTCCTTTAAAAGTAGCACAAAAAGTTTTAATTTTGTCACAAATTCTTTAAAAATTACATATATATATACACACACACACATATATATTTAGGTGAAATGTTCTCAAACTATAATAAAGATATACACTGTTTTCTGAAGAGCTATGTGATTGGGGTTTTGGTATTTCTATTTTTATGTTGTATATTTTTGTTTTAAAGGGAAAGATTTCATTTTCTAGATGAAAAATAAAAATTAGATTTAAATATAATTTGAATAAAACATAACTTTTGTATATGACAGATGTACTAACATTTATCTTACACACTGTTATTAAATGAGGCTTTTACTATATAGGTGATTTTTAACCTTTGAGTATACATGATTGTAATGTATGGTGAATTTACAAACAGTGACTTTATAATAGTTATTTTATTAAAATATACTACAAAGGCAGTTCCTAACTCAGACTTGTACTCTAAAGGAAATACTACAAGAAAACTGTAGGGAGCTATCTCTGTTCCTTGGGGATGAAGCCACAGGGGCCCGTGCCACTGTGCCACACACCCTGTTTTCAACTGAAGACTGCGGGTGGTATAAAACATGCTGCATTTACAACCCTCATGACTAACTCTGTTACCAAAATAATGTCTATAAGAATAAATTCTATACAATATATACACTTTGGCTAGAACTTTAACCCTGGTACCAAAAAAAGAATACACGTACAGCCTGATCAGAAATATTGCAATTGAGGCAATAAGCTCAAAAGGTTACATTTCAAATGCTTGAGAAACTTGTTCTCCCTAAAATACAGTATTTGGTTTATGAACTTTTGAAGTAAATATAATAATAACGGAAAATTATAACAATGTTTAAACTAGGGAAGATGAATAAATAAAACATAAATAAAAACAATTAGAATGCTATTCAATGACCGTAGGCAACATTAAATATTTGCTTATTACCTTATAATATGTAATATATACTAGAGTGTTTAAATTATTTCAAGATAATCACAGTAAGAAAAGGTAACATTTATTAAGTACTTACTATGTATCAAGCATCAAGCAAAGAACTTTATACAGACTATACTATTTCATGTCAAGCAACTTACAATGTGAACAGGTACTGTTATCTTTATTTTCTGGAGGTGGAAACTGAGGCACAGTGAAGGTAACTGTGTAAGGTTATAAAGTAATTAAGTTAAAGGGCCCCAGTTTCCTTACTAGAAGAAAAACGAAAAGAAAACCACTAGCTCATTTATACTTTGTACTACCCCATGCTGTTAATCTTCAAAGTATGCATATGTATGGTTCCAAACAGAAGACGTTTGCTTTCAGAGGGCTGAGGATTTCGTCACAGGTGTGGAGAATAAAACACACCAGGTCAGACTCTGGGGAGGAAACATCTGAGCAGTTCCGGAAGGGCTGCCCGTGTCCCTGTAGGGAAGGGGGACACTGACAAGGGGCTGCTTAACCTCCCACTGACTCCTCAGTCACCACATCTGGCTTCTCTCCACTCCACTGATACCCTCCTGTCACACTCATCAGCGGCTTCGTATCACCAAGGCCAAAGATGCTTTTACAACAGTCCTTGTTTTCACGTCACTCAGATTCATATCAGGGCTCCACGCCCTGACCACCCCTCCTGGAAAGACACCGCTCTTGGTTGCCACGAGCACGGTCTCCTGGCTTCCTCCTGCCTCAAGGTCGCACTGTGTCTATCCCCTTTGATGGCTCTTCTTTTGCTTGTACCTCATCTCAATATTTAGAAGGATTCACATCTGACACTGAGGTTCCTTTTCTTGTTTGTTTTCAACCAGTAGTTTCTTGGGATTTACGAGACCCTGGTGTTGATGACTGCCATATGGATATCTCTAGTTCAGACCTCTCCTGGGAGGTTAGATTCTGATGTCTTTTTTAAACTTAATAAGCCCAAAGGATGCTGTTGATTCATTTACTTCAAGTTAGTCCTGCTTTCCTTACTCCGTCCATCACTACATTACCAAGAAATGGTACCACCACCTACCAAATTACTAAACTCTACCAAGACTCTACCAAGACTGTGGTCATTCTTGATCTCTTCTTTTATTATTATATATTCTATGCCTGATCCATGAGAACGGACTATTGATTTTTCTCTCCAAAAATATCTTGAATGCATCTACTTTTCTCCATTTCTACTATTAGCACTTTAATGTGTATCTCAGTCCATGTTACCATCTCTCTCTCCTGCTTAGAACAGTCTACATATCAAGCCTTACCACTGCTACCTCTGGAATATCTCCAACTCTCCCCTTCTCTCTATCTCCACTGCGACTATTCTAACTCAAGCCGCTGCAATCTCTCATCTGGGCTATTGTAATACTCAGTTCCCTCTTAACAAGGCTCCCAACTTTCACACTTAATTACCAACATACCTATAATTCATGCTCTACAAAGCAGCAACTGTGAGATTTTTTGTTTGTTTTTAAATATACATCAAGTTACAACATTTAAATGGTATTTAAAATAAAACCCTAATTTCTTACCATAGCATACAAAGCCCCAATAACAGAAAACAAAATGGAATAATCCAGGTCTTTGCCATTAGATTCAGTGTATAGCTGGTGTTCAAGAATTACTCACTGAAGAATCAAATGAAACCATCACACAATAGGGTTAATTCTGAAGCAATCAATCTTGGTTGATTAAAACGACTATACCTGCCCAGGAGAGGAGTCCCCCAGGGGGAGAGCTTGAGGAAGTTTCTAATAGAGATAATCTAATTTCACTGCTCACTGGAAAACTGGAAACTGCAGCTACCTCCACCTCAACTCACTTCTGAAGACCAGATTAGTACCAGGGCAAACAAGCAGTGTCCGTTTCTTACCAGCTTCTTTTTCTTTTAACTGCAGAAGGGCTGGCATTGGAGGATGAAGAAAATAACAATTTTCGTGTCGTTGTTTAAATTCTTCAGCAGCAATGGGATCTATACCTAGGGCAAACCAGGCAACCAGCCCGTCCTCTTCCCCTGGGACGCCTTCAGCACCAAGTGCCTTTTCTTTCATTTCAAGTTCTACTCCAAGGAAAATCAAGGTGATCTTCTCGGGCTGAGCCAAGTAATCTTTTACGTCTGTGTAGTTCAGCAGACAAAGCCTGACTTCTGGCTGTTGAAAACTTTCTTTATTGCCACCTAGAGTAACCAGGGGATTTAAGTCTGAGAAAAGGATATAAACCGTGTCTGGATGGCTTTCTTTAGCTAGTAGCCAGTCAGAATGATTTCTCTTTTCACTTTTCCGGTCCAGTAGTGTTTTACTAAAATAATTTTCATATTCTTCTACTTCACTGCTGAGGAACCAAGGCTTACTCCCACCTTTAGTGTTAGTCAGTAAATTAGCTATATTCTTATAACCCCAAAATATAGCAATATCCAGTGCAGTCTGCCTTGATTTATTGACAAGTGATCTGTCACACCTATGGAAGGAAGAGAAAATTGGTAAGAAAAAGTGAAACAGGAAGATAACATTTCTCCTGTATTTATTTTAATATTTACAGACACACATTATAATCGTTCTATCCAATAATGACATAGATTTTTTTCATTTAGTACATGGATTACTATAGGGAAGGTTAAAAGAACAATAATCATAAGTGATACAAAGTTAAGAGATAATAAAGATATTTAAAATTTCTGGATAATTCCTTATAAAACAATAAAGCATAAGGTTGATATGTAAGGCAGCAGCCGTGAATCTTTTCAGCACCCGGGACCAGTTTGATGGGAGACACTTTCTCCATGGACCAGGGTGGCAGGGGATGGTTCTGGGATGACGCAAGTGCATGGCGTTATTATGCACTTTATTTCTAGTAATATTTTTATTATTATTTCTTGTAATAGATAATGAAGGAATCACACAACTCACCATAACGTAGAGTCAGTGGGAGCCCTGAGCTTGTTCTCCTGCAACTAGATGCCCCAGCACTGGCATCACCCCCTCCCCTCCACCTCGGATCACCAGGCTTTAGATTCTCATGAGGAACGTGCAACCCAGGTCCCTCTCGTGTGCTGTTTACAGCAGGGTTGTGCTCTTGTGGGCATCCGATGCTGCTGACCTGACGGAGGAGCTCAGGTGGTGATGCAGCGAGGAGGGCGGCTGTAAACACAGATGAAACTCTGCTGCTTCCTGGCTGCTCCCTCCTGTTGTGTGGCCTGGTTCCTAATAGGCCATGAACCAGTCTATAGCCCGAAGACTGGGGACCACAGTTATAAGGAGATATGAAAAATCTAGAAGGAGTCTTTGGTACTCATAATGACACTTGCATTTTCTATTAGGAAGAAAAAGATTAGAACGGCTGAGTGCGGTGGCTCATGCCTGTAATCCTAGCACTCTGGGAGGTCAAGGTGGGTGAACTGTCCTGAGCTCACAGGTTCGAGATCAGCCTGAGCAAGAGTGAGACCCCCATCTCTGAAAAAAAAAATATAGCCAGGTGTTGTGGTGGGCCCCTGTAATCCCAGGTACTTGGGAGGCTGAGGTAAGAGAATCACTTGAGCCAAAGAGTTGGAGGTTGCTGTGAGCTATGATGCTCCAGCACTCTACCAAGAGTGACAAAATGAGGCTCTGCCTCAAAAAAAAGAAGAAAGAAAAAGATTAGACTACTCGTAAATTCTCTTTGTTATAAAGTATGAAGGACCAATTTTTCAATAAAAATTGTTAAAAGATTTTCATGTTACATTTTTATATAACAATGGAGTCAAATAATTATTTACTAGCTCAAAAATATAGATATGACTACAAGGAAATATTTAAAAGAAATTACTGCATTTTGCCACGTATAATGGGCTCCCACATCTTTGGCTCAAATTTTCAGGAAAAAAATCTTTTTATTTTAAGTTTTTAAAGGAGGGCAAAGCCAGGCATGGTGGCTCATGCTTGTAATCCCAGCACTCTAGGAGGTTGAGGTGGGTGGACTGCCTCAGCTCATGAGTTCAAGACTAGCCTGAGCCCAAGTGAGACCTCATCTCTAAAAATAATAAGAGGTATTGTGGCAGGTGCCTGTAGTCCCAACTACTCAGGAGGCCAAGGAAAGAGAATTGCTTGAGCCCAAGAGTTGGAGGTTGCTGTGAGCTATGATGCCACAGTACTCTACCCAGGGTGACAAAAAAAAGGGAGGACAGAAGTGGCCACCTACTGGCATGTCCTTCTGTCACACAAGGTGCAAGGTGTGGAGCTAGCCACTGTGGAGAAGCCAGGAACAAGCCCAGGCTGCAGGTGAGAGTGGTCCAGATGACCTCAGAGGACCACACCCAGCTGTCCCCTCCTGGCCCACACCTGCCCCCACATCCTCTCACTTCCTATTCCCACCCATGTCTGTCAGTGGGACCGTGGCCACAGCCACTCTCTGCTGAGAGCCTTGTCAGGTTGTTTCTTGGAAGACTGGTGTGAAGGGCCAGGGCCTGCCCTTTCTGGGCCGCCGCTGGCCCCATGCTGAGGCCAGCCTTCCCTGATGATACCGCAGCCTTCCCTGATGACACCTCAGCCCCATGCTGAGAAGGAGCCTTCCCTGATGATACCACAGTGAAGTAACCGGCACTTACATTCCTGTTTAGTGACGAGACCGTGACCTCCTTCAGTCATCCAGACTTTGGGAACTCAGTAATGTCCGAGTGAATGATGCCACCCTTTCCCAAACTTGCAAATCTTACAAACGACCTGGAAGACTGGCTACAATGAGACGCCTGAGCCACTCCCAGAGCCACTGAATATCAGTTTCCTTAACAAGCACCCTGGATAGTTCTTCTTCCTGACAAGTGTGGGAAATTATACCAACTTAATACTTCCAGGGTTCAGACAAGTCATAGGCTCAAAACTACAATTTACAGGCTCAGGTGTCCAAGCTTTCATGCTTCTCTGCCAGGTACTCTCGCAGACACAACCTTCTTGGGGACTGGGGCCCAAGAGCACAGCAGTAGACCACTGGTAGAACTGGGTCTCAGAACCCAGGTCTTCCAGACCCCAGCTCAGAGATCTGGAGAGAAAGGAGTCAGCCAGAAGGGCAGGGGCGTATTGTTAGGCTCTAATCCTCACACAGCTTCCTGGGAAATAAGTCTGCTGGGGTTCTCAGTGGAGTAGCCATGGCCACGTTCCCAGTGATGGACACGGGTAGGAACAGGAAATGTGAAGATATGGGGATAGGGGTGGGCAAGGAGAGGAAAAGGGTTGGCTGGGAGGGGGCAGTTTGGCAAGGTCAGGCACTCAGGTCAACGGGACCACTTGCACCTGCTGCCAGGGTTTGCTGGCGGCCCATCCACAGCGGCCTGCTCCTGCCTCACAGCTCTCTGGAGGAGGCATCACTGTGCAGCCACTTCTGCCCTCCTTTTGCTGAGGTCCAGGTGCTAACCACACATCTGGCCCTGTGCCTGCTTCTGAGGGCGGCAGCAGCAGCGTTTGGAATGATCAGCTGGGTGGGCGAGAGGCGTCGGCAACTGTGGGGCCTGCTGATGAGAGGGCAGATGGGGAAGGACGTAGCTGGTAGGGGGCGTGAGAACTGTATTCCAGGATATTATTTTGCATATGGATAGTACTATTAATTTCTACAGTTACACTTTTAATGCATGAGCATAAATAAAAGAATTAAGAATATTTATATAGATACAGAATTTAGTACTATCCACGTATAATGTATATCCTTATTTTTGCCTCACAAATTTGGGCAAGAAAGTGTGCATTATATACAGTACAATATGGGACATAACACAGAAATTACACCATAACCCTTTCCAGTGGTAGAGCCTCAAATGTTTACCCTTTCTCAAGCAGCAGCTGGACGGCCTCGGAGTGCCCATTCCTCGCGGCATACATCAGAGCAGTCCAGCCATTTTCAGAAGTCTCATTAAGAAGAGATGGAGAGTGACTGAGAATTCCCGTCAACTTGCCAATATCTCCTTCTGCAGCTGAACAGTGAAACTGGGAAATTATTTCATGCTTTAGATTTCTTTTTACAGAAGACATTTTCTTCCTTAAAAGAGAAAACAGAAAAATAAAAACCTCATTTGCAATTGTCAATAAATGAACATTATCTTAGTGTCAATGTTATCAGAATAGTAGTAATTTCCAAGGAAATACACTCTTTGAAAGGCAATTAGCAGTCAACTATCGCTACGGCATACATTTCAAAATTGTTATCAACTAAAAATCATAAATAGAAAATAATGCATAACGAGCATTGGTAATACAGATAAGGATAATCTTGGGAGAGGGAGTTGGGGAACATATTACAAAGAAGAGGCGCTATCTGAGGTAGCCTGGAGGGCCCTGAGTATGGAGTGGGGACCTGAGGAGGGCAGGGTTAAGCAGATGAAAGTGGAGACCCGGGTTTGCAGCAGATGCTAGTCTATTCTCTGATTCTACGGGACCAGGTACAGGTTCCTGCTCTCAGGGAAATTATGAATGATTAGTTTATTATTCAAAAGCTTTCTAAGTTTCACATAAACACAATTTATTGTTCTACCTTGCACAATTAATTCTGCAATCCATTTGTGGCTGATTTTTGTTCAGGGAGTGAGGTAGGGGGGTCAAATACTTTTTTTTATCCCAATAGATAATTCATGTGACTCAGCACTATTCTTCAAATTACTGTCTTTGTCTCATTGCACTGTAGTTATTATCCTTGTCACAAATCAAGTGACCATATATTTTTGGATCTATAATTGTTGATCTAGTTCTGTTGGTCCTGTCCTTGAATCACAGAAGCTTTTTAAATCATTAACTTTATCTGCTTTGCCATTCTGTTGTTTTGGTGAGATAAAAAATTGCCTCATATTTGTTAATAAATGTTGTCTAATCATGGATTATGTGGTGGGGCAAAAATTGAGCTCTTTTATTTTCTGAAAATGGCTCATGTTTCAATTGCCTATGAACTTCTAAAGTATTCTTTTTAAGGTATGAATTTTTTTCTATGATAGGAGTGATCTTCATATTAAACAATAATTTTTTATATTTCTTTTTACTCTAGACTTTACCTCCCCATTTCTTTCACATTAAAATTTCTAAATACTTTTAAAATACAATGGCGAGGGCAGGGTAAGATGCACATATAGTAAGTTCCAGCAATCATTTCTCCAGAGGATGGGACTCAACAACTATCCATGCACACAAACACTTCCAGAGGAGTCAAAAAGTCAGGCAAGTGATTACACTACCTGGATTTAAACTTAAAACAAGTAAAGCAGCACTCAAGAGGGCAGAAGACATTGCATTGCCAGCCCCCCATCTCCTGGCAGTGCTGTGCCAGCACCCAGGGTGGAGAATCTGGAAGGTCGGGGAGAGGGAATAAAATGACTGTGGGACAATGCACTGAAACTTGGGGTACTCGGAACAAGGGGACACAGTGCAGGGGACAATCCTGCTGGTGTGCAGGGAGGGCGCATTGAGACCAGCCAGGGGATGGAGAAACCCTCCACGCTGAGATCTGCGGCCGCATCAGCAAAGTAGAAAAGCTTCAAATAAACAACCTACTGATCCATCTCAAAGAACAAGAAAACCAGAGCCAGCCAAACTGAATTAGTAGAAGAAATAAAAAAGATCAGAGCAGAAAGAGGGGAAATGAAAAACACAAACGAATAACAGAATAAAAAACTGGTTTTGAAGAATGAAGAACAGAATAAACACTCCTTTAGCCAGACTAAGAAAAAAGGAGAGAAGACCCAAACAAATAAAAACAGAGATGAAAATGGAGGAATTACAATATTGCAGAAATCCAAAAAAATCATCAGCGACCACTGTGAGCAACTCTATGCCAAAAACCGGAAAACCCCGATGGATCTATTCCTAGACTCAAACAAATAAAAACAGAGATGAAAATGGAGGAATTACAATATTGCAGAAATCCAAAAAAATCATCAGTGACCACTGTGAGCAACTATATGCCCAAAACCGGAAAACCCCGATGGATCTATCCCTAGACATGTACCACCTACCTACCCAAGACTGAACCAGGAAGAAATCCATAATGTGAATAAACCAGTAACAAATAATGAGATAAAAGAAGTAATAAAAAGTCTCCCATCATAAAAAAAAAAGCCCAGGAACTGATGGGTTCATTGCAAGTAATATTGGTATTGCTCTTTTTTGATGGTTGGTAAAATCTTATTTAAACCATCTTACTTAAAATAATACTCCCAAACTCATTCTATGAGGCCTGTAGTAACCCTGATACCAAAACAGAGCATGACACAACAACAACAACAACTAAGAAACTATTCATCAGTATTTCTGATGCATTTGGATATAAAAACTCTCAACAAAATATAAGCTAACTGAATTCAACAACATATTAAAAAGATTATTCATCATGATAAAGCAGGATTGAACCCAAGAATGCAAGGATGTTTCAATGTATGTAAAATCAATCAATATCCTAGATCATATCAACTGAATGAAGGAAAAAAAATGATACCCTTATTTCAATTGATGCTGAAAACACATTCAATAAAATTTGATAAAATTCAACATCTCTTCATAAGAAAACAATTCCAAAACTGGATATAGAAGGAATTTGCCTCAACAAGATAAAAGTCATATGAGAAAGGCCCAAAGTATCACACTGACTGGGGAATTACTGAAGGCCTTTCCTTGAAGATCTGGAATAGGACAAGAATTCCCACTTTCACTACTGTTATTCAACATAGTACTGGAAATCTAGCTATAACAATCAGCAAGAGAAAGAAATGAAGGACATCCCATTTTAAAAGAAGTCAAATTATCCTTATTTGCAGATGATACGCTCTTATATCTAGAGAAACCAAAGACTCCACAAAACAAAACAAAACAACCCAAATTACATCTGGGCACAGTGGCTCACATCTGTAATTCCAGCAGTCTGGGAGGCCAAGGCAGGTGGATTGCCTCAGCTCATGAGTTCAAGACCAGCCTGAGCCAGAGTGAGACCTCTTCTCTAAAAATAGCCAGGTGTCATGGTGGGTGCCTGTAGTTCCAGCTACTTGGGAGGCTGAGGCAACAGAAACACTTGAGCCCAAGACTTTGAGGTTGCTGTGAGCTGTGATGCCACAGCACTCTACCAAGAGTGACAAAGTGAGACTCTGTCTCAAAAAAAAAAAAAAAAAGCCCTAATTACTAGAACTGAAAAACAGATTCAGAAAAGTTGCAGGATACAAAACCAATGCATGAAAATTGGTAGCATTTCTATAAACCTATATTCCAGTTAGGTTTACTCTGAACAATAAACAATGTGAAAAGGAAACCAAGGAAACAATTCCATTTACAACAGCTGCAAATACAATTAAATACCTAGGAATTAAACTTACCCTAAGAAGTAAAAGATCTCTGTAATGAAAACTGTAAAATACAGACGAGAGAAAATGAAAAGGACACACATAAAAAGGAAAGAGTGTTCTTGGGTAGGAAGAATCAAGATCGCTAAAATGTCCAAACTCACCAAAGCAATCTACAGTTTCAGTATAATCTCATCAAAATACTAATGACATTCTTCACGGAAACAGAAAAAATAATTCTAAAATTCATATGAAACCACAAACAATCCAGAACAGCCAACATCATCCTGAGAAAAAAGCATACAACTGAAGGATCACATCACCTGAGTTCAAATTATGCCACGGAGCTGTAGTGACCAAAACAGCATGGTACCAGCATGAAGCAGACGCGTGGCCAGGGGAACAGAACAGAGAATCCAGAATAAACCCATACATCTATAGTGAACTTATCTTCAACAAAGGTGCCAAGCACATACAGTCTCTTCCATAAACAGTGTTGGAAAAACTGACTATCCATATACAGAAGATGAAACTAGACCTTTATCTTTTCCCACATACAAAAATCAAATAAAAATGGATTAAAGACTTACATCTAAGACCCAAAACTATGAAACTACTACAAGAAAATATCAGGGATGGCTCAGTGCCCGTAGCACAGTGATTATAGCGCCAGCCACATGCACCAAGGCTGGGGGGTTTGAACCCAGCCTGGGGCTGCTGGACAACAATGACAACTGCAACAAAAAAAATAGCTGGGCATTGTGGTGGGCACCTGTAGTCCCAGATACTTGGGAGGATGAGGCAAGAGAATCACTTAAGCCTAAGAGTTGGAGGTTGCTGTGAGCTGTGATGCCATAGCACTCTACTGAGGGCAATATAATTGAGACTCTGTCTCAAAAAAAAAAAAAAAAAAAGGAAGAAAAGAAAGAAAGAAGAAATATCAGGGAAATGTTGTAGGACATTGTTCTGGGCAAGAACTTCTTAAGTAATAACTATCTCCAAAGCATAGGCAACCAAAGCAAAATTAGACAAATGAGATTACACGAGCTAAAATGCTTCTACCCAGCACAGGAAACAACTAACAAAGTGAAAAGAAACCCACAGAATGGGAGAAAATATTTGCAACTATCCACCTGACAGAGGATTAATAAGTATAGTATATTATACTTATTCTCCTACAACTCAATAGAGAAAATCAAATCATCCAATTGAAAAATGGGAATGGACAAAGGATCTCAGTAGACATTTTCTTTTGAGACAGAACATCATTATGTCACCCTCAGTAGAGTACCATGGTGTCACAGCTCACAGCAACCTCCAACTCTTGGGCTTAAGCGATTCTCTTGCCTCAGCCTACTGAGTAGCTTGGGATTACAGGTGCTCGCCACAGTGCCTGGCTATTTTCTGTTGCAATTGTCATTGTTGTTTAGTTGGCCTGGGTGGGGTTCAAACTCGCCAGCCTCAGTGCGTATGGCTGGCGCCATAACCACTGTGCTACTGGTGCAGAGCCTCAATAGACATTTTTCAGAATACAAACAACCTGGCTCAGTGCCCATAGCACAGTGGTTATGGCGCCAGCCACATGCACCAAGGCTGGCAGGTTTTAACTCACCCTGGTCAACTAAACCACAATGACAACTGCAACAAAAAAATAGCGGGCACTGTGGTGGGCACCTGTAGTCCCAGCTACTTGAGAGGCTGAGGCAAGAGAATCGCTTAAGCCCAAGAGTTGGAGGTTACTGTGAGCTGTTGCTATAGCACTCTACCCAGAGTGACATACTGAGACTCTGTCTCCAAAAAAAAAGAATGCAAATGACCAACTGGTATATAAACAAATGCTCAGTGCCATTAGTCATCAAAGAAACGCAAATAAAAACTACAATAAGGGATCATCACAACCTAGTTAAAATGGAGCTTATCAAAAGACAGGCATTGACAAAAACCAAATTTTGCTTTGGTTGCCTATGCGTTGGAGGTCGTCAACCTAAGTGTCCATTAGTGGATGAAGGGATAAAGAAATTTTGATACATATATACAATGGAATATTATATAGCCAGAAAAAAGGATGAAATCCTGACATTTCCAACAACATGGCTAGAACTGGAGAATATCATGTTAAGTGAAATAAGCCAAGCACAGAAAGACAAATCTCACATGTTCTCATTTATATATAGGAGATAAAGATTAAGAACAATTTACCTCATGGAGCAAAGAGGAGAAGGATGGTCACCTAAGACTGGGAAGGGTAGTGGGGAGAGGAGGATAAAGTGAGGATGGTTAACGGATGTAAAAGTATAGTTAGACAGAAAAAACAAGGTTTGATAGGCTCACAAAATGACTATACTCAGCAGTAAGTTGGTGATACCTTAAAATAACTGAAAGAGTGGAACTGGAATGTTTCTAACACACACAAACACTTAAAAATGGATACCCAATTCCCCTAATTCGATTTACTCAATTATATACCTAAATTAAAACATCACATGTGCCTTATAATGTATGTACCCGCAATAATTAAAAAGGAAACTGCAAAAAATGACTAACAATAGCTATAAAAATTTTGAGACTTTATTTTGAAACACTGCTGTACAGACTCATGTATTGGTTTCCCTTTCAAATTACCTTTCTCTTAAATTTATTTCCCATAAACTCGTTACTATACAGATTTTCCATTTAGGTTTACTTTGAAAAATATTTCAGGGCCCCACGTTCTGAAGTCAGGGGCACTTCCTCACCCTTCCACAGGCCACCTCAAGATCACTGCAAAATTATCTTTCAAAATCACAGTGTCATTCACGACCTCCAGTCCAATGCTTATGCATACAGTATTTGGCGGAGAAACGGGAAAATGTTTGCCGTTTACGTTTCTCAAGGAAAGTCACTAGGAGTAGTACCGTTACTTATTCCAGAGAAGCCCGTAAGTCTGAGACGGCGCTCTACAGCTTGCTTGTCTCATTTGTCACTGGCCGGGTCCTGCAGAAACAGGATTTGAAGGGTGGAAAAAGTGCTGCCCGTGCCTTGTAAGAAGCACTGGAGTATTCTGAGAGGTCACTTAGAAGACCCCGGGGTTTAAAGGGACTTAGATTTCAACCAAGCCAACATTCACTTTTACTGATGTGTGAACCGGGACACATGACTCGCCCGCGGTCACGTGAAAGGAGCGGGGACAGGCAGGACCTCAACCACGGCTGTCAGTGGAGTTACCGTCAACACTAAGGGAACCCCAGCCCGGGGCACTCGAGTCGACCACTGGCCTAGTAGGCGCCCCCCCGGCACAGGTCTCGCCCACAGTAAACGTCTGGAGACATTCTACTTCCTCGCCACCACTGTGAGATTCCTTCTTTCGGGGTGAAACCACATCTGCAGTGGCCTCCAGCAGCCGCACGGCCGCCTGGCCACAGGCAAGCCTGGCACGCAGCGCTCCCGCGCCCAGCAGGGACGGGCAGGGCGGCGCGGAGGCCAAAGAGCCCGGGTACCGGGTCACCGCCCCCAGAAGCGACAACAGAGGCGAGCACCTCGCCGCTGCTTCTACTAACCCAAAGGAGACCACAGCGGAGGAAACCAGAACGCCGCGGAAGGACGGGAAGTGCGGCTCGCGCAGTTTCCGGCGCCGGGCGCGGCCCGCTCCACTTCCGGCGGCACCCGGCGCGCTCGCGCGGCCTCCTGGGAGTGGAGTTGGAGCCCGACCGCGGGCCGCAGGCGGGGCGGGGCCGGCCGGGAGGATGGGGGTGGGGCCGGTCGGGGCGGGGGCGGGGCTATGCCGGGCGGGGCGGGGCCGGGGCGGGGCGGCTGGGAGGGCCGGGGTGGGGCCGTGGGCCGCTGAGTCTCGAGCCGCTGCTCAGGGACCTGCGAGGGCGCGGGGAAGGGCTGGCGTGGTCTTTGTGGGACCGAGATGTGTAAACGCGATAAGAAAACTGCCGCTCTCTGGGAATGATTTTAAATTTTCCACTCGTTCGCACCGGGTTCCCCAGCCTTCTCTCAGATGCAGCGACAAGCAATTCAGTGCTGAAAACATTCTTTCCTGTTAAATAATCCTGGGATGTTGGCTAGGCTAGAACCGGTCACTCGGGTACACGACATTAAACAAATTATCGGACTCTGTAAAGCTTTAATTACCTCGTGTGAAAAATGGTACTATATATTGATGCCTCCTTCATTCAAAAAACGGTCCTTGGAAAAGCACGCGTTAAGCGCCCACAGCACCCTGGGGTGTGAGGATTAAACTGGCTAATGCATAGAAAGACCCCAGGACTCTGCAGAGCTGGCTCCCACGACACAGTTGTTGTTGTGTTATTTACTTACTGTTGCGTTTCCTGTGCTTTCACGCTCCAAACCCCACGGAGTTATGTGAGTTTGAGATCACAAAACTAGTGAGTGGTCTTCTAACCCCCAGGCCAGGGATTTTTTTGCTTCCCTCCACCGTCTCCTTGGCAATTAACAATTACAAGAGTCTCCTAACATTGACGGTTGCCTCCTACCCGATCTTCACTCTTCGGAAGCTCCTTGTCACAGTGAAGTTGGAGCATCCCTTGACCTTGTACTTTTCAAGACTGCGGCTTCTAACTTCGCTTTCAGTCTTTCTCTGAGTGCTTGTCTTCTATTCGGACATCAGACAGGAGGTCAGAAATACTCATGTTTAGTTATTTCACCTGAAATACCCAATCTTTATGAGCCAAAGTCAACAAATTAACATACAGTTCTCCTCCCCGCCCTTAATATTTTCTTGAAGTAAATTCCCGATGCCATTTTATTTAACTGATGAATATTTGTGAACTAAATAAAATCTTAAGGCTCCCTGCCCAGCAACTAAAAGACTGGACCACTTCTTGGCCAAGATGATCCCTAAAACCGAGTTGCTGGCCATGAGAAAGGGGATCCAACCTGCCTCATCATGCCACCTCCCCTTCTTAGAGATGTCCTCTGTGAGTCTCTAACAGCCTAAGGCTGGGCAGCACCCACCTTAGGTCCTCAGTATACACAACAATCCACTTGAGTCTGTCAGGTACTTCCCCTCTAATTGACGGACCCTTTATCTTAAGCTTTCCTTTTCACTGACCCCAGGTCTTATAGACAGGGCAGTCTAACTCTTGTCAGCTAAAGAATCTTTAAACCACCTATAACCTATATGCTCCCATGTCGAGATGTCCCACTTTTTTTGCCCAAGCCATTGTATGTTTTCTTTGTATTGATTTATGACCTTATCTGTAAGCCCTGTCTCTCTAAATAAGCCCAAAGTGTAACCTCATCACCTCAGAGTCCACATGTTCAGGGCTCTGGGTCATAGTCCTCAACTTTGGCTCAGAATAAACCTCTTTGCGTTATTTTACTGAGTATGGTTTATTTTCCATTAACATATTTAGGAATTAACTTTTTTTTTGGAAATATAAATACATATCTAAAATATAAGGGCTTTAGAGAAGAACATATCAGGTGGTGCCTGTGGCTCAAGGAGTAGGACACTTGCCCCATATACTGCAGGTGGCGGGTTCAAACCCAGCCCTGGCCAAAAACTGCAAAAAACAAAACAAAACATAGCCACAATATCACTAGTACAACAAAAATTTTAATAATAGCTGTAATTGTGTCATAAAAGAGAAATTCAATATCAAATTTACTCAATTGCCTTATAAATTTTATGTTTTCTAATTGATTTACCTAAGCAAAGTCTTCTTTGGAAGACTTTGGATTTCTCTCTCTCTTATTTTTTTCTGGTAGTTTATTTATTGAAGAATAATGATAATTTGCTCTGTAGAATTTCCCACGTTCTGAATTTTCCACACTGTATTTTTGCGATGTCCTTTCTCTCAGTATTTCTTGTATACTGGTAGTTAAATTTATAGAATTTTTCAGGTTAAAGTTGGATTTTTCATCCTAAAGAGATGGCATGGGTCTCTCTGCTCTTCTTTTCCTCCACCCCCCCCTTCTCAGTGTCTAACACATCTTATACCCTCAATGAATCCCCAACAAAAATAAAAAAAATTATGTTGATCCAAAAAAATAAGTTAAAAAGGAGAATAAAAAAAAAAAAGATAGCATGGGTGTTACAGTTTACTTTCTATTATCTAAGAGCCTGTCTCTCTTTTGTTGTGTTATAATTTTCATGGGGTTTGGGTGTTGTCAAGGTGATACAGGTTATGACAAACATAATAAGTTTTTCATCAGATGTTCAGCTAATAGTGTTAGCAGGCATTGATGACTATTGCCTACACCCACTGTTTCATTAGGAGTCGCCTAATGGTGACATTCTAATTTGCATATACTAACTGTTATTATTTTATTATAAAGAAACTTATTAAGTATCTATACAGTTTATAAGGAAAGGTGGGATAATTGTGTGATTTTCTTCTTTATTTCCTAGTGTTACTGGAATTTCTTCAGTAGGTCCTTGATCTCCGGGATTCAAAGAATGAACCCACCCCAATTAGTGGTAAGATAGGATTTTATTAGAGAGGAAGGAATACAAAAGAAGTAAAAAGCACCAGAGCTTCTGGCAAGGGGGAGACCCAAGTCAGAAGTTTCCCACCTGAGCCCTTTGTCTAGGGGTCTATATTCCATTTTGCCAGGACTTGGTAGGTGGAAAACACCTGTAGAAACTTAATGAGTATATTAACAAATGAATGAATGAATGAATGAATGAATGCTGTCCCTCCCCTGGGTCAAGGTTATCAGGTCCTTGCAGTTTTTGTCTCAGGGAAGCGATTAGGGTGTGTGCTCCCTACTCAAGGTGGAACCACCCAAAACGTTTCAGGCTGCTTTGCTCCAATGTGATAGAGTCCAGACAGTGTGGCCCGGAGAGGACAGCCTGTTTGTGCCTACAGATGAGGGTCTGATTTCTGAGCTCACTTGGACCTAGAGAGTGGGGGTGGTGGCTCCTGTGCATTCTGAGTGGGGGACTCCTGTGTCACTAGTTTTCGGAGGAACTAGTCTCCTAAGATCCTTCAAGCTGTTAGGCACACAGGCACACCTTGTACTGTCACACTGTGAAGAGTCTGCATTTTTCACAAACTGGAGGTCTGTGGCAACCCTGGATTGAGCAAGTCCATCAGTGCTATTTTTCCAATCACATGTTCTCTTCACGTCACAGTGTTAAAGCAGGATTCCACCACTCAGGGCCAGACAGGGAGCCCCTATTCTCTAGGCCCAGGTGAGCTCAGAGGTCAGACCCCATTTCCAGGCACAAGCAGACTGCCTTTCTCCAGACACACCCTCTGGGCTCTGATAAGATCATGAACAAAGCAGCCTGTGATGGTTTTTTTGGGTGGTTCCACCTTGGGTAGGAGCACACACCTGAATCCCTTTTCAGGGACAAAGACTGTAAAGGACCTGATGATAAGTCAGGTGAGATGATATATGAGGAACTATATTCATTCATTTGTTAACACAATTGTTATCTACCAACTGCCAGCCATGTGTAATTCTCTAGACTTAAGACCCCTAGATTAAAGAGCCCACATGGAGATTTCCCAGTGAGTTCTTTAATTATTTCCCCCTTCCAGAAGCTCTGGTGATTTTACTTCTGTGTTCCTTTCTAACTTCTAATAAAAGTCCTATCTTACCAGTGATCTGTGGGCCGTGGGTTCATTCCTCAAGTCCCTGAGACCAAGGACCTACTGAAGAGCAAAATTCCAGTATTAGTTTCACATTTTGGCAACTCTAACAGTACTTCACTGTTTTTCATTATTATTATGTCTGTTATGGTGGTCTCTGATCAGTGATCTCTGATGTTACTATTGCAGTTATTTTGGGGCACCTCAAACTTGCTGATAGAATAGAAGCCACACTCTGTAAAATAACATAAGGAGGTTTATTCTGAGCCAAACTTGAGGTCCATGACCCGGAATCACACCCAAGAAGCCTTGAGAAAGTGAACTCAAGGTTGTGGGCTTATAGTTCAGTTTTATACATCTTAGGGAGACAGGGATTACAGGTGAGGTCATTAATCAATATGCAGAAACCATACAGTGGTTTGCCCCCCACAAAGGGGACATCTGGAGGAGGAGGCTTCCAGGTTATAGGAGTGTTTAAAGATTTTTTAGCTGACAAAGGAATGCTTAAGATAAAGGCTCTGTTGATTAGAGACAAAGTACCTGACAGACTCCAGTGGTTTGTTGTGTATCCTGAGGACCCACAAGTGGGTGTTGCACAGCCTTAGGCCTGTTAGAATGATCCTCCTCTAGAAGGGGAGGGGGTATGATGAGTAGTGCCTGATCCCCTCTCTCAGGGCCAGCAGCTCAGTTTTAGGATCCTCTTGGCCAAGAGGGGGTCCAGTCAATCAGTCTCTGAGGGGAGAGCCTTAAGTTCTTATTTTAGTTCACAAACTGAGCCCTTATTTTGCATATATCAAAAAGCAGAATTGATAATTCCGGGTAGCATGTGCTCTGACTGCTCCTCTGTCTCTTTCCCCAGACCTCCCTATTCCCTGAGATGCTGCAATGTTGGAATTAGGCCAAAGGCTTTTCAAGTGAAAGGAAGTGTCTTGGATCACTCTGTTTAAATCAAAAGCTAGAAATGATTGTGTTTGTGAGGAAGGACATTAAAAGACAAGTTAAGCCAAAAGCCAGGCCTCCTGTGCCAGTTAAGCAAGATGTAA